AAATTATTTTTATCAATTTTTTTATTTAATATTAAGATAATTGAGAATTACAATTATAAACTAGGCTAAATGATGTGGGGTAAGCATTATAGCTTTCCTCGTAAAATATTATAAATTGCTATAATGTTTTTCTACATGTTTTTTTTTATTGTAATTTTTTTTATAATTATCTCTATTAATTTTATTTTTTTTACATTTATTTATAATTATAATATCATTAAATATATTTATTTCATAAACCCGTAGCAGTAGCATACCACCCTGTTGTTTGAGAGGTGATCATTTTTTTCTAATCTCTATTTTTAATTACAATTAGAGTCTAATTCCATCAAATAAGTTTTCAATTCATGCCCAAACATTCTGAAAAACTCCATAACTACAACATAATGTAAATTGAAAGGAATGTGAATAAAACAAAATAATTTTAAAGATGAAAATATAAAAAATAAGAGTTTGTTTATAAAAACAAATGAGCTTTCGAGGATATGAACGGTGGAATCAACAATATATCGTGTCGAACGCTGCTGTGATTTGGGCCACAGTGAATTTTTCATCTCTATTAGCTATCTCTGCAGTATAATATAACTGGCTAGTTTATATACTCTAGTAAATAGAATTTAAAGCTAATTCTCATCGTAAAATAACAAGGTATTGGTGCTGTGGAGGCATTTTCTAGTATTAGAAAGAAATTTATTTGAGAATTGGAACCGTGGTGATTAATAAAATAAATTAAAAATATATATGAATTGATAATTAAATAGTAAACAAATGATTAATGGTGAAAAGCTAATTTTCCTCGTAAAATATAAAAGAAAAATGCACATGTAGATATTTAACCTAAAAAAATAGATATTCATAAGAAATGCAATTATTTAAATTTTATAGAAAGTGTATTCTTTAGTCCAAGTTATTTTTTATTGTTTATGTATTTTTTCTCGCAAAAATAAATCTTTTATTACTAGCAATATCGTTTATTGAATGAAAAATAAAAGTGGTTAAAAAATTCAAAAAATTCGACTTGTTTGAATAAATATGAAAATATAACTCTTTAATCAAAACTTCATTTTCTTGTCCATATGTTTTGTTTCTACAAAAACATGACTTTTTACAAGAAATATTATTTTCTAAATAAAACATGTCATATATTTAAAAGCAAGTTTTATTAAAAACAAATCATGATTTTATAATTTCAACAAGAATAATAAAAATTATATTAAAAGTTTATGAAAAAATAAAAATAAATATTTTATTTGCATTTAATATTCACGATCATTTTTTATTAACATTATGCATATTAGATTAGTGAATGGTTATTTAAAATATAAATGTTATTATTAGCACAAAAAGATTTAATATTATTTGAAAAATATGGTATAATCCAATAATTATTGAAATATCATTTGAGTAAATTTATTTAAAAAGAGTCTTATTACAAAATAAAAATAACCAGGTAAAAGAAATAAATATTTGCTTTAGAAAAGACGCTAGACATGCTTCGGTTATAAAGGGAGGCTCCCATGTCTAGTACAAAATTAAAAAGCCAAAGCAAGTCCAAGCAAATATACAAAAGACAAAAATTGAGGGACCAAGTTGAAGTTCTTCATGCTTTTGAGTAGTGTAAATGGGAAAAGGCTCTTTTTAATGATAATTTATGTCCTTGTCCTCTCATTTTTTTGTTCAAAAATAACCTAAAATTCAATTTCACAAAATTAATATTTAATTTAATACCAGGATATTCAATAATGTATATGGTATGTGAGGTCATGCTATAGTAAATAGATTATAACACATAAAACTATGTAAATATAATTTTTAATGATAAAATTAAAAAAAATAGAATACAGATATAAAAATTCAGAAATTTAAAGAAATTTCCTTTTTTTCTTTTTCATTTTTAATTATGGATATTTGGTTTAGTTTATATGAAACTCGATTAATTTTTCAAGTTTATAAAATTAACAACTATCTCTAATGATCTAATATTCATAATATTTAAAATAGTGATTTCTGAAAAAAAAAAACAAAAACTCAACCTCTCATATTTTTCTGATAGAAACCTTAATAGTCATAGCAGTGGCATTTTTAGGCAAAAAGAAACCAGGAGCCTTGGCATCTGGCCATAGCCTGCACATCCCAGACGAAGCTAACTCGGCTCGACTCTGTAAACTGTCATTGGAAAACCACCCAAGACAGCTATGAACTCACTGCATGTTTAAGGTGAGAGCTGTGTCCTTCCCATGCAACTGCATGTTGCACCACCGATCATGGGCCAAAAAAAACCTGCCTCTACTCCGCTTGGCCATCCATGCGCCGGCCATATGACACGGCCACCATTCTCTCCGGCAAGACAAAAATCCTGGCAACATTTACATGTCGTAAAAGCTGGCTCATCTGCTAAACAAATAGGTGGCTAGCAGGCTCTATATACTAAAAGTCAGAAGCCACATGTCAAGCATTTTGGAAACAAAAGGCCACAAAGTGCCCTCTGAGCCCATTCCTTTTAAAATCATCTGAGAACGGAATCCATGCACCATAATTATGAGATGCAGACAGCAACATGAGCACCTGTAAAAGTGAATTAATTTTTCACCACAATCTCAGAACCAACAAATGGAGGTATGCTCTAACCTTGAAGTCTAAGTCCTCCCTGAAATATGATCTTGCAGAGAAAATGAAGAGCTGCAGCAACCAAGAAAAATTGACAATAAATAACAGGAAAATGACAAAAAAACGAATGCATAAATCTGTCAACAGACCAACAAGCAACTGTGGGTGAAGTAAAAAGGAAGAAACAGTGAAGAACCCGGGAACCAACGCACAGTAAAAAGCAAGCAAAATATTCTAGCCAGTTGCTCCACAATCTACCTCTGGACGACCGTATCACAAAACTGCACCAGAGAAATTGAACAAAAAATCACGCAAGTCATATAAACCGAGACAACGAGGATCATCAACCAAATGATGGCATTAGAAAGCAATAAAGGAAAGTTTGCAGTAAGGAAAAAATCATCTAAAAACATGGCAGGGAAGTGTTCGGAAAGAAGAGAGAGCAGACCTCAAAGGCATAGCCATGTAAAAAACCGTTGAAAAGCTGCAGAATACAATTCACGTACTCCCTCCAAAACAAAAATAAGCACCCAATAGCATGCCTGGCCGAAGGAACAGTTACATGCTATAATTAAAAAATCTATATCGAAACAGGAAAGCAAATGACAGTACAAGGAAAAAAATTTCAAAATGAGTAAAAAAAAAAGTCACAACTAAACCAAAATAGTTGGCAGAACCAAGAAACCCGTCAGAACTCGCCATCTATCGCCAAAAAACCAGCAGCAAATAGTCCAGCCAGAACTAAATGTCCAGTCCCATCAAATTCTGCACCCACTCTCCCAATTGAAGAGAGAGAGAAACGACACAGACAGATTATTAAAACATTCAAGGCACCATCATGAGGACAACATGCCATGCTCAAGCTACAGCTGCTCCAAATCGCTTATGCAAGCCAAATGCTCTCTAAGCCCAAAGCAAAAGTAGGGTAGCTTTCAAAAGCCATAAAAACCAATCGTGCAAGCTAATTGCCTCGTGTCCTGTTTCTTACACTCTTTGCAAGCCAATGACCTAAAAAAGCTTAAAGAAAAAGCAGAGCATCTTTAAGCTTAAAGAAAAAGCAGAGTAATAATCAAAAGAGATGAAAAGCGAGCCGCAGTGCCGACATGGTAGAAATCCCATATATTTTAGAGTTTG